TATTTATACATACATACATACATACATACATACATACATACATACATACATACATACATACATACCCCGCCTTTCTCCGTAAAAGGGACCCACTCAAGGTGGCTAACATCATCAAAAGACAATATTAAAAAGCTGAAAACAATGAGTATACTGTACAATGGTAGATTACATAATTAAAAGACCATATACAAACTACAAGGTAGTTGTGTGATACCACCAGCATATACCCTGATCCTACTTGTATGTTTGAAAGTACAAAACAGTGCAGACTTGGAGTTCACAGGTACGTCTAAGCATCTAAGCAGATCCCACTATCATATTTTAGGATGACCCTCTTTTTTCCTAAATGGAAACAAATTCACTTGGCTGCTTGAATTCATTATTAGAAGGAATGATGGACATTCATTGTATGTGTGCACAGGCATGTGTACACACACACAAACACACACACACACACACTTGCATGGGCTTAACACACTCAGGATATTGAGTCCTAAGCAGTGAGTATATATGCCCTTGAAGATAACATTTATGATGAAGAGTTTGCCTCCAGAGTTATGTGGTTTGATGGATTTGCTTCTTCCCATTGGTTGCATACCCAGGCGAGATTCCACCCTATCCACCCACCAGGAGATAGGACCATGCCATATAAACAGTCACAGTTTAATGAAGTGGAGGGGAAAGGATGGATGATAAATGGACATGGTTTCTTTGGTTATGGAGGAATAGCCTTGGCACAGCCTGTGGAAATTATCCAAGTATCAGATGACCTTGCCTGTCAACCGATGCACACCAGCCCAGTCTGTTGGTGGGCACCTACTTATGGGTATGCCCCTGGGCGCAAGACCACTAGGGGAACTGGTTGTTTATCAGGTTGTGAGGGACTATGGTGGCCCTCTCAAGCAGGGCATGGCCCTGTCTGTCCCCTGCTCAACTCCCCCCCCATACATGGGCCATATGCCTGGGTTATATGGCTCAATGGTTCATCTCCCCTTCTGCAGATCTACTCCCATATGCAACCAGAGATAAATGCGGCAGAAAAAGAACATCACGTTTTGCAGAATTTATTCCAAACATGAAACACCCAACCTCATCACCAGTAATAACCCAAAACATCTACACATACAAGACCAACGAGTTGAAGCTATCTCTGGACTGAAATCTTGGAGCAGACTGCTGGAGAGCAGCCTAGGCAGCTCCTTAAATACCTGTCTGGCAGACCAGACTGAAAACCTCTCCTCTTTGGTCTGCAGCCAAGAAGCCCCTCTTCCCTTCCCTCTGGCCGCACTGCTGGCAAGGAGTGTGAAGAATCCTTCTAGCCTGGCCTGGAGTCCCCTGGAAAGAAGAAAGGGGGCTCTGAAGCTTCTGCCTCTGGGGGATTGGGGCTCACTGGGTTGCAAACAGGGTCACCGGCGAGTGGCTTATTTATATGATGTAGAAGCACTTTGATTATGAAGAATAGTCCATGAAACCTGTTTGCGGACAATCGCAAGGTTTCTTTCCAACAATCTAGCCCGAGTTTCCGGGATCATGCCTTTTAATCATAGTCTGCTTACTCTAGTGTAAAATAAATCCACTGAAGTCCTGTTGAGTTC